GTACATTGTCATCCAACTGAACTCAGCCATGGTGATGCTGTCCTCTATTGATGTTCTTTATTGAAGCTGGGTTGTGTTCATTAAACAAGCATTTGATATTGCACAAGTTCAGGAAGTATTCTACATCCTGTTTCACTGTGTTTTCTTACTTGTTGTGCCTTCTGAACATTACCCTGTCCTTTATTGACTTATTCTCTGTCCATCTCTGTAGTGGCCTGTTGTTATTGTTGCATTGACGATGTTGTCTTCTGTTGTTATTTCCCCAGTGGCCTGGCTGCGAGGGGGTGGTGGTCTCTTGGTGCTGGTCTAGGTGGAGAGTCATAGGCTGGAGGAGTGGCTGTGTTGAGGTGGTGCCCGTGCCAGGCCATGCCCGGGGGCCGGAGAGGGCTGAGTAAATAGCAGCTGAGCCGCTCTGCTCTGCCGTACAGACACTGGTAGGAGCCACCCTCAGCAATGGCAACGGACCCAGGAACAGGTGTGGAATGGATGAGGGGAGATGACACAGAGAGATACACACACACACGGATGTGGTACAGTACTGTACTACAACAAGCAGGCTTAACATCCCCTCCCCAAACATGCTACTTATTTACGCAAGGCTCATTCCATGGGAAATTAAATGTGTAGGCCTATTTGATCCGACCCCCTTGCAGACGCTCTTATCCAGAGCGACTTACAGGATTCGAACCAGCGACCTTTCGGTTACTGGCCCAACGCTCTAACCGGTGATGTAAGATAGCTGTCTTTTAATATTCTCTCCCATCTTCTCTAACATAGCAGAGGTTAGGTTAGTCAGATAAATCATTCATGTGACTGAGGGGGAGTAGAGAATATTTACCTTGTCTGAAATATTTCCCCTGAGGGGTAAGAAGGTATGGCAACACAGATAAGAGGAGAGATATCTTCCACTGTTCTGTTCTCTCCACAACATGCTCTTCCACATGCTCTCTCTCTCTCTCTCTCTCACACACACACACATTCTTAGCTGCTGCAGACCTTAGCTTGAGTCCCAGTCTGTTTGTGTCATCATGCCTACTCCTTTGTCACTCATGGTGATGCCAAATGTTTGGCTTGACAATGACAGCAATGGCTTTGGCAAGAGCACAAATCAATGACCATGCTACAGACACCTAGGCTTATTCCTGTAGCCAACTCACACTGCACCACAAACACACACACTAACCCCTCTACCTGTATGTCCCCCTCCATCTAGGAGGAGAAACTGTGTGGGTCTCTCGGCCCCGCCCCTCTCGGCCATCATCATGCTGGAACCTGTCCGTCACTCCCGGATCCCTGACTTCCCATTGGACAGCAGCCTGCTGTTTGAGCTCCTGCTCTTCCTCTACCTGCTGGTGGCGCTGTTCGTTCAGTACATCAATTTCTAAAGGACCGTGTGGTGGTACCCTTACAGTCATCCTGCCGCTTCCATGTCTCTGGTGGGTTGTAGTACAGACAGACAGACACACAGACACACTGTACATTAATATCTACAGGACCATGTGGTGGTAACCCTATAGACATCCAGCAGCCTCAATGTGTCTGGTTAGTAGTAATATAGACACACACACGCAGTCGCACACACACCTGCACGCAGTCACAAACACACACACACACAGCCACCTGCTGCCTCTACCTCTCTGGTGAGCAAACGCACACACAGAGCCATGTTTCTCTCACTCCCTCAGGATGATAATATATAATATAATAATAATATGCCATTTAGCAGACGCTTTTATCCAAAGCGACTTACAGTCATGCGTGCATACATTTTTTGTGTATGGGTGGTCCCGGGGATCGAACCCACTACCTTGGCGTTACAAGCGCTGTGCTCTACCAGCTGAGCTACAGAGGACCACAGGATTGCTGGAGACAGCCCTGGATAAGAACATTCATGAGTCTGTCAGCGCCCAGATCAAGAAGAAGGGTGGGTTACTCTTACTGCATTCTCCTGCTATCAACTATTATAACTTCATGTAACATTTTGAGCTTCATGGTGCAAAATGGCATTTTACAATAAGGGTCCCTTTACAAGGGGTTTATAAAGGGTTTATAATTAGTTTAGTAATGGTTAATGAATCATTTATAAATGTGTATGTCTTTGATGGGGATGTGTTTGGTCCTGCAGCAAGCGTTTAATGCCACATGAGGCATCTCCAGCTGGGGACCAGTCAGGAGGCTCCCAGCCAGACCACCCTGCCCCTGTAGAAGACACCTGCTGCTGGGTAAGAAGGTTGAGGAGGAACACACAGGCCAGTGGCTCACAACACGACCAATTAGGATGACATGTAGTGGAATAGCAAAACAAGTGTCTCACTTACTAAAACTATGAGAGTTCTCACTTCGTAAAGAGCCTTGATTTCCAAGATCACAGTGTGTCTAGGCCGGAACTCTCCCTGTCTCTCTGTTTCAGAGTCTCCAGTTGAGGGGGCTGTTACCCAAAAAACTAAGAATAGGTCTCAGTTAATCCACAGAGGTCTCAGTTAACCCACAGAGGTCTCACTTAACCCACAGTTTTACTCCTTGATGTTTAAACCACATTCTAACCTGAAAGGGCAGTATTTTGGGGGAGAGTTTCAGTGCTTTGAACTGGTCAAAACTTAATCCATTTATGTTATTGAGACCATGGAAGATGTAATGAGATCAGCCCTCTTGCTTAACAGCAGGGAATAGATGTGTTCGAATACAAAGCCCTTCCATGGAATTTTTCTTTATTCATATTGGGGTAGTTTTTTAAAGCCATTATATGTGTACAGAGAGAACTTCAATTCAAGAATGTAAACAATATATCCAATTGTCTTCATCATTACATCTGTCACTCTCGATCTCACCATAAGGTCACGTTAAGATACTTTTCATAGCCTATTGCACATACAAAAGTGGGATTTTATTTATTCACTCGACTACTCATTTTAAAAAAAATGTTTTGCACCACCCGATTTTTCCCATTACTCTGTTTAAATGTCCATAATTTTTATGTATGTACGAGAAACAGCTTGGCTACCTTTGGGGTCTAATATGTTGGGATAAGTGGCATTGAAAAGTCTGCCATGGAATATATACCCTAACCTGTGATCTGTGTAAGAGGCGATATCTAGTGAGAAATTGTCAGTTGTAACCCATTTGGCTGAGGTTTTCAGCCCTCTATCAAAGTAGTACAAGTCATATGGGTTAATTAACCACCTTTGGGGTCAAAGATATTGACAAAAGTGGCATTGAAAAGTCTGACATATCATGTCACTGTTCAATATCATGCCTAACCCAACCTGTGAAAAATGAATATACTACTACAATATCCTACCAACCCCCAATTCAGGAGTGGTCTTCAGTGAGGTACACAGCTGCATGTTTCTGTCCTCCATGACTGGGAAAGGCATAGAAGACCCTACATCCATCGCATTAAATCAGAACAGTATGGACCAACAGTGATTCATATTTATAGTTTACATCCCAAATATATTGTGTTAATTGTTTTCACAGCCCTTTATGTAAAGAGAATAAGGACAGGTGTCACATGATTGATTAAACATGTTTGGAGAATTTGACAGTGGTTCCCAACATGACTTCTTTGACACATGCTATGGCTGGGAGTCTTGCATCGAACATCTCATTCCAAAATCATGGGCATTAATATGGAGTTGGTCCCCCCTTTGCTGCTATAACAGCCTCCACTCTTCTGGGAAGGCTTTCCACTAGATGTTGGAATATTGCTGCGGAAACATGCTTTCATTCAGCCACAAGCGCTTTAGTGAGGTCGGGCACTTGGGCGATTAGGCTTGGCTCGCAGTCGGCATTCCAATTCATCCCAAAGGTGTTCGATGGGGTTGAGGTCAGGGCTCTGTGCAGGCCAGTCAAGTTCTTCCACACCGATCTCAACAAACCATTTCTGTATGGACCTCGCTTTGTGCATGGGGGCATTGTCATGCTGAAACAGGAAAGGGCCTTCCCCAAACTGTTGCCACAAAGTTGGAAGCACAGAATTGTCTAGAATGTCATTGTATGCTCTAGCGTTAAGATTTCCCTTCACTGGAACTAATGGTCCTAGCCTGAACCATGAAAAACAGCCCCAGACCATTATTCCTCCTCCACCAAACTTTACAGTTGGCACTATGCATTGGGGCAGGTAGCGTTCTCCTGGCATCCACCAAACCCAGATTCGTCCGTCGGACTGCCAGATGGTGAAGCGTGATCCATCACTCCAGAGAACGCGTTTCCACTGCTCCAGAGTCCAATTGCGGCGAGCTTTACACCACTCCAGCCTACGCTTAGCTTTGCACATGGTAATCTTAGGCTTGTGTGCGGCTGCTTGGCCATGGAAACCCATTTCATGAAGCTCCCAACCAACAATTCTTGTGCTGACGTTGCTTCCAGAGGCAGTTTGGAACTCGGTAGTTCGTGTTGAAACCGAGGACAGATGATTGTTACACACTACGCGCTTCAGCGGTCCCGTTCTGTGAGTTTGTTTCCACTTACATTTACATTTTTACATTTTAGTCATTTAGCAGACGCTCTTAGACTTACAGTTAGTGAGTGCATATATTATTATTATTTATTTTTTCATACTGGCCCCCCGTTGGAATCGAACCCACAACGCCATGCTCTACCAACTGAGCTACATCCCTGCCGGCCATTCCCTCCCCTACCCTGGACGACGCTGGGACAATTGTGCGCCGCTTCACAATAACAGCACTTACAGTTGACCGGGGCAGCTCTAGCAGGGCAGAAATGTGACGAACTGACTTGTTGGAAAGGTAGCATCCTATGACGGTGCCACATTGAAAGTCACTGAGCTCTTCAGTAAGTCCGTTCTACTGCCAATGTTTGTCTATGGAGAGTGCATGGCTGTGTGCTTGATTTTTATACACCTGTCAGCAACGGGTGTGGCTGAAATAGCCAAATCCACTAATTTGAAGGGGTGTCCACATGCTTTTGTATATTTAGTGTATATTTTGAAAATAATTTGTGTGGAAGTTTATTCCAGGTGGTATTGGCAGAAGCGGCAGATGAAGCCCTATGTTGACTTCATGCAGAAGAACTATCTTCCAGACTTCAAGTATCAAGACTTTGCCCCACAGTTTACAGCTGAGTCCTTTGATGCCAAAGAATGGACTGACATCATTGCCTCATCCGGGGCAAAATATATTGTCCTCACCACAAAACACCATGAAGGTGGGCTGTGTGTGTGTGTGTGTGTGTGTGTGCAATGCGTGCTCCACTAATAAGGTGTAGCCTTCCATTGAATAAAATAATCATTCTAATGATTCCACGTGATTAGGCCAATAAAAATGTATTTGTGGTTCATTGTTATTGTCCTATCTGCAGGCTTCACTCTGTGGGGTTCTGAGAACTCCTGGAACTGGAAAGCAGTGGACGTGGGACCTAAACGTGACCTAGTCGGAGAAGTGGCTGGAGCACTCCGAGCCCACAGCGACCTGCATCTGGGACTGTACCACTTTCTGTTTGAGTGGATTAACCCGCTTTTCACGCAGGACGCTGCCAACCTGTTCACCACCACTAAGATGCTGCCTGAGCTCTATGAGATCATCAACAAGTACAAGCCGGAGCTGCTGTGGTCCGATGGAGACGGGGATGCTCCTGATAAATACTGGCACAGCATTGGATTCCTGGCTTGGCTGTACAACGAGAAGTACAGTCATAGAGATAATAGGCTGAATCTACCGCACTCCCAAAACCTATTAGTGAAGGTGCTGGAGGCAAAATGCAAAACTGGAGAAAGCAGAAAAAGTCTGCACACTTCCAGTCAGATGCACATTTATTTTAATAGTAGCTGAACTTTCAGTCAGTCGACCTCCGTCAGAGCATATCCACAAACAAAAGTGGGAACAGTCATAGAGATAAAATATGATGTAATATGTTTAGGGAAATAATATACAATAAGTGTTCTAAATCCACTTGCCTTTACAATGAGAGGTAGGGACATTATGGGCTAGGACACAGATTAAGTCTGGTCCTGGACTAGAACGCACTTTTAATGGAGATTCTCCATTCAACATGCTTTTTAGTCTAGGACTAGGCTTAATCAGTGTCCAGGGAAACTGGCCCTAAATGTATAGAAATCCACACAGATGTCTTTGCAGTTATACAGTGGCTTGCGAAAGTATTTACAACCCCCCCCCCCCCCCCCCCCCCCCCCCCCCTTGGCATTTTTCCTATTTTGTTGCCTTACAACCTGGAATTAAAATTGATTTTGGGGGGGTTTGTATCATTTCATTAACACAACATGCCTACCACTTTGAAGATGCAAAATAGTTTTTCTTGTGAAAAACAAGAAATAAGACAAAATAACAGAAAACTGGAGCGTGCATAACTATTCCCCCCCCCCCCCCCCCCCCAAAGTCAATACTGTCACGTCTCCTCCCGTTGCTCCCCTCCGGCGCTCTGATTCGCCGGTCTACTGAGCCACCGGTCTAAGCGCACCACCTCGGCAACACCGGAATGGAAACCCAACGCACCCTAATCACCTCCAGCGCACCTGCACCTCATCATCTCATCATCTCATCACCACCCCTATTTAGCCCTGGACTGTTCTGGATGATGTTGTGTGTGATTGTTAAGCTTTGTGTCGTTTACTCTAGCTTTGTTATTTCTCTTTCTCATTGTTAAGTAAACCTTGACCTTGTTAATTTCTGCGTCTGTGTCCTGCCTCTTCGTATACTCAGTACGCGTCACAGAATCACACACCAAACGAAAATGGATGCAGCAGGAGTTTCTCAGTGCCTCGACCAGCACCAGCAGCAGCTTGCCCAGTTGAACGCCACCATGCAGGAAGTGCTCCAAACTCTGCATAATCTGCCCAGCACTCCGGTTCCACCAGGGAGCGGCGAGTGCCCTTAATCCACCTGTTGCCGTGCCATCACCCACTCCTGCGGGAACCCTCGCCCTACTGGAGCGCTATGACGGTAAAACGACTAAATGTAGCGGCTTCCTGCTACAAGTTTCCCTTTCTCTGGCGCGTCAGCCTGGGGTATATCCATCTGACCAAGCCAGGATAGCGCTGGTGATTTCACTTCTTAAAGGAAAGGCGCTGGATTGGGCCACGGCAGTCTGGGAAGGAGAGGAGGCAGTGGCGCTTCCCTACCCCACCTTCCTCGCTAGGTTCAGGGCGGTGTTTGATCATCCCACGGAGGGAAAGGACGGGGGTGAGTGTCTCCTCCATCTACAACAGAGAGAGGGGCCCACATCCGAGTACGCTCTGAGCTTTCGCACGGTGGCTGCGTCTTCCGGCTGGAATGACCGTGCTCTGTGCACGGCCTTCAGGAGAGGCTTATGGGAGGACATCAAGATGGAACTCGCATGTCAGGATGAAGAAATTAACCTTGATACCCTCATCACCACGCCCTCCGTCTAGACGACATGTTGAGAGAGAGACGGCGTTCCCAACACCTCCCGGAGCATCGACGCTCACCCCATCTGAGCTATGGAAGCCGCCCTGCTTCCGAGTCCTCACCCATGGAGGTAGGCAGCACCCCCTACACCACCATGGACCACAGATCTCCTGGCGGCTCCCTATCTAGGCTGTATAACTCCCGTCGCCGCTCCGTGAGTGTTACGTCAGCTCCTATCACAAAACCATTGTTTTTAGTTCCCATAATGGTGACTGGTTATTCCTTCTCTTCCATTCCTATCGCAATGATAGATTCCGGATCAGCGGGGAACCTTATAGATAGGGAGCTGGTCTCTGAATGGGGGTTGCCCACCGTGCCACTGCCATCTCCGCTACACGTCACCTCACTGGACAATAAACCCCTTGGATCAGGCACCATTACGCACGTCACTCTCCCCATCACCATCACCATCACCATTCCCACACTACCGGAGCACCATGAGGATCTGTCATTCCACATCGTCACGTCACCCCTTCACCGGATCGTCTTGGGATTGCCCTGGCTCAGACAACACAACCCCACCATCAATTGGAGAACCAAGAGGATCACAGCCTGGTCCACCTCATGCCGGAAGACCTGCCTGCCGGTGGTTTGTTGTTCCACGTCAGTGGAAAGAACGGAGTCTGCCCTCCAGCCCAACATTCCACGTGAGCACGCAGATCTCTCCGATGTCTTATCTTCATTAAAGGCTACGTGTCTCCCTCCTCCTGGAGGGACAACACCCCCTGAAGAGTCGCATTTACCCCCTTTCCATGGCGGAGACCCTGAAACAGGGGTTCATCAGACGCTTTACCTCTCCTGCCTCCGCCAGCTTCTTCTTTGTGGCCAAAAAAGACGGAGGACTGAGACCATGCATTGACTACAGTGGGCTGAACGCAGTCACCACCAAGTACCGGTACCCCCTCCCTCTGGTTCCGTCGGCCATCGAGCAGCTACGAGGGGCCCGGTACATTACCAAGTTGGACCTGAGGAGTGCCTACAACCTGATCCGAATCCGGGAAGGAGACGAGTGGAAGAAGGCATTCAGCACTACCTCAGGTCACTATGAATACTGCGTCATGCCCTAAAGCCTCGCCAACGCACCTTCTGTGTTCCAGTCCTTCGTCAACGACATGTTCCGGGACATGCTGAGTAGACAGGTGGTGATGTACATCGACGATATCCTGATCTACTTGGCTACGTTCGAGGAGTACGTCAGGGACGTTCGAGCTATCCTACTCCACCTCCGCGAGCACAGCCTGTTGGTGAAGGGGGAGAAATGCGAATTCCACCAACAGGCCATCTCCTTCCTGGGATACCGGATCAGTCCTCAGGGGGTGTTCATGGAAGGAGTGAAGACGGACACCGTCAGGTCATGGCCAGTTCCTACCACCATCAAGAGCCTTACAGAGCTTCCTGGGCTTCGCTAATTTCTACTGGCGTTTCATCAGGCCACCCCGCTCACCTCTCTCCTTAAGGGTGGGCCCAAGAAGCTGGCCTGGAACCCTGAGGCTGATGCTGCCTTCAAGAGGCTGAAGGAGAGGTTCACTGCAGCGCCCATCCTAAAACACCCAGATCCATCTCGTCCTTTCATCCTGGAGGTGGATGCATCAGAGGAGGGCGTGGGTTGTGGTCCTCTCCCAGCGGCACGGTAAGCCAGAGAAAATGTATCCCTGTGCCTTTTTCTCTAAAAAGCTTACCCCCACAGAGAGGAACAATGGAGTTGGAGACAGGGAGCTGTTGGCGGTGGTCCTCGTTCTGGAGGAATGGAGACACTGGCTGGAGGGCACAGTCCATCCATTCCGGATTCTTACTGACCACTGGAATTTGGAGCACATACTGGCAATGAAACGGATGAACTCTCGTCAAGCCAGGTGGGCCCAATTTCTCACTTGCTTCCAATTCATTCTATCCTACCGCCCAGGATCCGAGAATGTGAAGGCCGACGCACTCTCCAGGATGCACCATACCGGAGAAAGGAAGGATCTGGGGGGTCCTATCCTGCCCTCGTCTCTCATCGTTGCTCCTGTCGTTTGGGATGTGGACGAAGACATCCGCCTGGCGGCTCAGGAGGACCCAGCGCCAGCCAATGGCCCTCCGGGGCGCGTGAATGTACCCACCAGTGTCCGTGACCGCCTGCTGATCTGATGGCACACCACCCTTAAGGCAGGGCACTCTGGTATTATGCGCGCCCTGCATTCTCTAGCCCAAAAATACTGGTGGCCCACCTTGGCATCTGATGTCTCCCGCTACGTCAACTCCTGTTCTGTATGTGCCCAAAACGAAGACACCTCGGAACGCCGCGGCAGACAAACTAGTTCCTCTCCCAGTGCCTCAGCGACCTTGGTCACACCTGTCCATAGACATGAAGATGGCGGCCTCGCGACTAGCTCTTAGGAAACTTTGCAGTATTTTGTTTTTTATGTATTATTTTTTACATTATTAGCTCAGAAAGTGTTTTGCATCATTACATACAGCCAGGAAAAACTATTGGATATCAGAGCGGCGGTAACTCACCAGCATTACGACCAGGAATACGACTTTCCCGAAGCAGATCCTTAGTTTGCACTCCCCAGGACAACTGAACTGATTCCAGCGGCTGACCCAAAACATCGCCGGCGGAGGAGACATCGTGGCGCACACCACCCACCACTTCCAAGTATCCTACTCGCTAGTGTTCAATCTTTGGTTAACAAAGTCGACGAACTACGGGAAAGGATTTCTTTCCAGAGAGACATCAAGGCCTGTAACATACTCTGTTTCACGGAAACCTGGCTTTCTTGGGATATTCTGTCAAAATCGGTCCAGCCAGATGGGTTCTCAGTTCATCGCGCAGACAGGAATAAATATCTCTCCGGGAAGCAGAAGGGCGGAGGTGTGTTTCATGATTAACGACTCATGATGTAATTGTAGTAACATACAGGAACTCGAGTCGTTCTGTTCACCCGACCTAGAATATCTCACAATCAAATGCCGACCATATTATCTCCCAAGATAATTTTCTTTGGTTATAGTCACGGCCGTGTATATCCCACATCAAGCCGATACCACGACGGCCCTCAAAGAACTTAACTGGACTTTATGAACAATGGAAACCACATATCCTGTGGCTGCATTTATTGTAGACGGGGATTTTAACAAAGCAAATTTGAGGACTAGGCTGCCGAAGTTCCATCAACATATCGACTGTTGTACTCGCGCTGCTAAAATCCTCGACCATTGCTATTCAAACTTCCGGGATGGTTATAAGGCCCTCCCCCACCCTCCTTTCGGCAAATCTGACCACGACTTTGCTTCTCCGTTCCTATAGGCAGAAACTCAAACAGGAAGTACCCGTGCTAAGGACTATTCAACGCTGGTCTGACCAATCGGAATCCATGCTTCAAGATTGTTTTGATCACGGGGACTGGGATATGTTCCGGGTAGCTTCCGAAAATAATTTAGACAAATACACTGAAACAGTGACTGAGTTTATCAGGAAGTGTATAGGTGATGTTGTGCCCACTGTGACTATTAAAACCTACCCTAACCAGAAACCATGGATAGACAGCAGCATTCGCGCAAATCTAAAAGCGTGAACCACCGCCTTCAACCATGGCAAGGTGACTGGGAATATGGCAGAATACAAACAGTGTAGCTACTCACTCTGCAAGGCAATTAAACTGGCAAAACGTCAGTATAGAGACAAAGTGGAGTCACAATTCAACGGCTCAGACACAAGATGTATGTGGCAGGGTCTACAGACAATCACGGACTACAAAAAGAAAACCTGCCACGTCGCCGACACCGACGTCTCGCTTCCAGACAAGTTAAACACCTTCGCCCGCTTTGAGGATAACACAGTGCCACTGATGAGGCCCACTACCAAGGACTGTGGCCTCTCCTTCTCCATGGCCGACGTGATTAAGACATTTAAGCATGTTAACCCCCGCAAGGACTGCCGGCCCGGACGGCATCCCTAGCCGCATCCTCAGAGCATGCGCAGACCAGCTGGCTTGTGTGTTTTATGGACATATTCAATCTCTCCCTTTTTCCCAGTCTGCTGATTCCCACATGCTTCAAGATGGCCACCATTGTTCCTGTACCCAAGAAAGCAAAGGTAACTGAACTAAATGACTATCGCCCTGTAGCACTCACCTCTGTCATCATGAAGTGCTTTGAGAGACTAGTCAAGGATCATATCACCTCTACCTTACCTGTCACCCTAGACCCACTTCAATTTGCTTACCGCCCCAATAGATCCACAGACGATGCAATTGCCATCACACTGCACACTGCCCTATCCCGTCTGGACAATAGGAATACCTATGTAAGAATGCTGTTCATTGACTATAGCTCAGCATTCAACACCATAGTACCCTCCAAGCTCATCATTAAGCTTGAGGCCCTGGGTCTGAACCCCGCCCTGTGCAACTGGGTCCTGGACTTCCTGACGGGCCGCCCCCAGGTGGTGAAGTTAGGAAACAACATCTCCACTTCGCTGATCCTCAACACTGGGGCCCCACAAGGGTGCGTGCTCAGCCCCCTCCTGTACTCCCTGTTCACCCATGACTGCGTGGCCAAGCACGCCTCCAACTCAATCATCAAGTTTGCAGACGACACAACAGTGGTAAGCTTGATTACCAACAATGACAAGACCGCCTACAGGGAGGAGGTGAGGGTTCTGGGAGTGTGGTGCCAGGAAAATAACCTCTCACTCAACATCAACAAAACAAAGGAGATGATGGTGGACTTCAGGAAACAGCAGAGGGTGCACCCCCCTATCCACATCGACAGGACAGCAGTGGAGAAGGTGGAAAGCTTCAAGTTCCTTGGCGTACACATCACCGACAAACTGAAATGGTCCACCCACGCAGACAGTGTGGTGAAGAAGGCGCAACAGAGCCTCTTCAACCTCAGGAGGCTGAAGGAATTCGGCTTAGCACCTAAAACCCTCACAAACTTTTACAGATGCACAATTGAGAGCATCCTGTCGGGCTGTATCACCGCCTGGTACGGCAACTGCACCACCCACAACCACAGGGCTCTCCAGAGGGTGGTGCGATCTGCCGAACGCATTACCAGGGGTAAACTACCCGTCCTCCAAGACACATACAAACAACCCGATGTCACAGGAAGGCCAAAAAGATCATTAAGGACATCAACCACCCGAGCCACTGCCTGTTCACCCCGCTATCATCCAGAAGGCGAGGTCAGTACAGGTGCATCAAAGCTGGGACAGAGACAATGAAAAACAGCTTCTATCTCAAGGCCATCAGACTGTTAAATAGCCATCACTAGCACATTAGAGGCTGCTGCTGCCTATTGAAATCACTGGCCACTTTAAGAAATGGAACACTAGTCACTTTAATAATGTTTACATATCTTGCACTACTCATCTCATATGTATATACTGCATTCTATTCTATAATATTCTACTGTATCTTAGTCCATGCCGCTCTGTCCATTGCTTGTCCATATATGTATATATTCTTAAATTCCATTCCTTACTAGATGTGTGTGTATTGGGTATATGTTGTGAAATTGTTAGAAATTACTGCACTGTCGGAGCTAGAAGCACAAGCATTTCGCTACACCTGCTATAACATCTGCTAAACACATGTATGTGACAAATAACATTTGATTTGATTCTGACGTCTTCACCACACTCATGGTGGTCGAAGATCGGTTCTCCAAATCATGCCGTTTTTTGCCACTAGCTGGTCTTCCTTCTGCTCTCCAGGTCGCTGAGGTCCTGTTCCAACAGGTCTTCCGGCATTATGGACTTCCGGAGGACATAGTCTCTGACCGTGGCCCCCAATTCACATCCAGTGTGTGGAAGGCTATCCTGGAGAAGATCGGGGCCATGGCCTGCCTCACTTCCGGGTATAGGCTTCAGTCGAATGGGCAGGTGGAGCGCATGAACCAGGAGCTGGGGTAGGTTTCTTCATTGCCACTGTCAGGACCGTCAGGGTGAGTGGGCAAGGTTTCTTCCCTGGGCAGAATATTCCCAGAACCCCCTCGTTCACTCCTCCACGGGGCTCACTCCCTTCCACTGCGTCCTGGGGTACCAGCCGGCCCTGGCCCCTTTGACACCCAGCCAGACCGATGCGCCCGCTGTCGACGAGTGGTTCCACAAGGCCGGACAGGTCTGGGAAGCCACCCATGTCCATCTCCAGAGGGTACCTGGTGGACTGGGGGGGTATGGTCCTGAGGAGAGGAGCTGGGTTCCGGCTGGGGACGTTCTGGACCCCAACCTAATTCGGGACTTCCACCGTCACCGCCCTGACCGGCCCGCTCCTCGTCCTCGGGGTCGTCCTCCTGGCCGGCGACGTCCAGCAGCTGGAGCCGCGTGTCCGGGGGTACTGTCACGTCTCCTCCCATTGCTCCCCTCCGGCCGCTGGTCTACTGAGCCACCGGTCTGAACGCACCACCTCAGCAACACCGGAATGGAAACCCAACGCACCCTAATCACCTCCAGCGCACCTGCACCTCATCATCTCATCACCACCCCTATTTAGCCCTGGACTGTTCTGGATGATGTTGTGTGTGATTGTTAAGCTTCGTGTCGTTTACTCAATCTTTGTTATTTCTCTTGCTCATTGTTAAGTAAACCTTGACCTTGTTAATTCCTGCATCTGCATCCTGCCTCTTCGTATACTCAGTATGTGTCACAAATACTTTGTAGAACCACCTTTTGCAGCAATTACAGCTGCAAGTCTCTTGGGGTATGTCTCTATAAGCTTGGCACATCTAGCCACTGGGATTTTTGCCCATTCTTCAAGGCAAAACTGCTCCAGCTCCTTCAAGTTGGATGGGTTCCGCTGGTGTACAGCAAACTTTAAGTCATACCACAGATTCTCAATTGGATTGAGGTCTGGGCTTTGACTAGGCCATTCCAAGACATTTAAATGTTTCCACTTAAGCCACTCAAGTGTTGCTTTAGCACTATGCTTAGGGTCATTGTCCTGCTGGAAGGTGAACCTCCGTCCCAGTCTCAAATCTCTGGAAGACTGAAACAGGTTTCCCTCAAGAATTTCCCTGTATATAGCGCCATCCATCATTCCTTAAATTCTGACCAGTTTCCCAGTCCCTGCCGATGGAAAAACATCCCCACTGCATGATGCTGCCACCACCATGCTTCACTGTGGGGATGGTGTTCTCGGGTTGATGAGAGGTGTTGGGTTTGCGCCAGACATAGTGTTTTCCTTGATGGCCAAAAAGCTCAATTTTTGTCTCTTCTGACCAGCATACCTTCTTCCATATGTTTGGGGAGTCTCCCACATGCCTTTTGGCGAACACCAAACGTGTTTGCTTATTATTTTCTTTAAGCAATGGCTTTTTTCTGGCCACTCTTCCTTAAAGCCCAGCTCTGTGGAGTGTACGGCTTAAAGTGGTCCTATGGACAGATACTCCAATCTCCGCTGTGGAGCTTTGCAGCTCTTTCATGGTTATCTTTGGTCTCTTCGTTGCCTCTCTGATTAATGCCCTCCTTGCCTGGTCCGTGAGTTTTGGTGGGCGGCCCTCTCTTGGCAGGTTTGTTGTGGTGCCATATTCTTTACATTTTTTAAATAGTTGATTTAATGGGGCTCTGTGGAATGTTCAAAGTTTCTGATATTTTTTTATAAACCAACCCTGATCTGTACTTCTCCACAACTTTGTCCCTGACCTGTTTTGAGAGCTCCTTGGTCTTCATGGTGCCGCTTGCTTGGTGGTGCCCCTTGCTTAGTGATGTTGCAGACTCTGGGGCCTTTCAGAACAGGCGTATATATACTGAGATCATGTGACAGATCATGTGATACTTAGATTGCACATAGGTGGACTTTATTTAACTAATTATGTGACTTCTGAAGATAATTGGTTGCACCAGATCTTATGTAGGGGCTTCATAGCAAAGGGGGTGAATACATATGCTTGCACCACTTTTCTGTTATTTATTTTTTAAATGTTTTTGAAACAAGTTATTTCTTTCATTTCACTTCACCAATTTGGACTATTTTGTGTATGTCCATTATATGAAATCCAAATAAACATCCATTTAAATTACAGGTTGTAATGCAACAAAATAGGAAAAACGCCAAGGGGGATGAATACTTTTGCAAGGCACTGTAGGTCTATTTAAAGTGTCAGTGCCATGGAGTATGCTGTATACACCAACAGTATAAACATCACATGCTTCATCATTTGCAACACTGGTACAATATTGGCATAGCCTAGTGCGAGAGACTGTGGTGAGACCGTGGTGACCAATGATTGTTGGGGTTACAGCAGTATCTGTACCCATGGAGCCTACTACACCTGCGCTGATCGCTACCAGCCCGGACACCTGCTCAAACACAAATGGGAGAACTGCTTTTCAGTAGACAAAGCTTCCAGTTTTAAATGGTTCGGATAGCACTTTAGTTTTATGGTAAACAGGAGACTCATCCTTTAGATCACAAAAGTTATTCCACTACCATAACAAACTTTTTTTGCAGCTGAATCAGTCATTATTTTGTTTGTATATGATTTAGTATAACTCATAAACAGCATAAATATACCATAGCATGCACTCAGTCTTTTGACTTGTTTTTGAAATCGCTGCTGGTCCCGTGTGTTTCTTGTGTAACACTTTACAACTGTGTTTTTTGGGTAACCTAAATGCTCTACTCTACAGCATGACTTGCTTGGCTTCATTCTTCTCTTCTATACAGAATAATTGTACACTACAGTAGGACATGTATTTGGTATTGGGGAGACTGAAATGTGGTTACTTTTCCAGCCCCACACAATTAAACTACGCAACAAAATTTAGCAGCGCAAGGTCAGCTGCATGCCTACCAATGGAAGATGTTATAATATTTCATATAGCTGTCATAAAGGCTTAATGAATGCATACTTGTGTCCTGAGTGATTCAGACGTTGGTGGAGACAGTGTGGAGGGAACCTGCTGATGAACATCGGACCTACGCACAACGGACATATCGCCCCCATCTTTGAGGAGCGTCTGAGGCAGATGGGTCAGTGGCTGGTGGTCAATGGAGAGGCCATCTACAACACCATCGCATGGAGTGCCCAGAACGACAGCATCACACCTGGCGTCTGGTCAGTTCATATAAATAATAATAATAATAATAATAATAACTAGAAAGGGTAATTTTTCGTCTGTGATGAGGTGATGTCGAAGGAGTCAGGCGCAGGAGGGTAAATCACAGAATAACAGGCTTTATTCCGTTAATACAGAGTTACGCAGTAATGCGTCAAAACACTACAGTGCGCAAAACAGGCGCACTGGAAAATACACGGCACACAGGGAAATATCCTGGCGATACAAAATACACGGAGCTCCACCGAGCTTCACTATCCTCCACAATAAACAATCACACACAAAGACAAGGGGGCAGAGGGAACACTTATACAGGTACTGATGAGGGGATATGAACCAGGTGTGTGTAATAAACAAGACAAAACCAATGGAATGATGAGATGAGGAGCGGCAGTGGCTAGAAGGCCGGTGACGACGAACGTCAAAGCCTGCCCGAACAAGGAGAGGAGGTAGCTTTGGAGGAAGTTGTGACAGTACCCCCCCCCCCCCCCCCTTGACGCGCAGCTCCAGCAGCGCGCCGACAAAGGCCTCGGGGACATCCAGGAGGACGTGGAGCAGGGCGAGCCAGTTGGCTATGGTGGAAATCCCGCAACAGGGAGGGATTGAGGATATCCCCCACCGGGACCCAGCACCGCTCCTCTGGACAGTACCCCTCCCAATCCACGAGGTACTGAAGGCCCCCCATCCGATGCCTCGAATCCAGGATGGAATGGACGGAGTACGCCGGGGCCCCCTCGATGTCCAAAGGGGGCGGAGGGACCTCCTGCACCTCAGACTCCTGGAGCAGACCAGTCCACCACCGGCCTGAGGAGAGACACATGAAACTAGGGGTTAATACGGTAATCTGGAGGGAGTAGTAACCTATAGGTAACCTTGTTTATTCTCCTCAGGACTTTGAACGGCCCCACAAACCGCAGGCTCAGCTTCCGGCAGGGCAGGCGGAGGGGCAGATTCCGGTCGAGAGCCACACCCGATCACCCGGTACAAAAACTGGGGCCTCACTGCGGTGGCGGTCAACGTTGGCCTTCTGGCGACGCACGTGCGCTGGTGGTGGACGTGAGCAGCGTTCCACATCTCCTCTGCACGCCGAAACCAGTCATACACCGCAGGAGCTTCGGTCTGGCTCTGATGCCACGGTGCCAGAACCGGCTGATAACCTTAAACACATTGAAATGGCGATAGGTTAGTGGAGGAGTGGAGGAGAGAATTATGGGCATATTCGGCCCATGGCAAGAACACCGACCACTCCCTCGGCCGGTCCTGGCAGTAGGACCGCAGGAACCTACCCACATCCTGATTCACCCGTTCCACCTGCCCATTAGACTCCGGGTGAAACCCAGAGGACCCCCAGACGTTCCATGGACGCCTTCCAGACACTAGATGTGAACTGGGAACCCCGGTCAGACACTATGTCCTCTGGCACCCCGTAGTGCCGGAAGATGTGAGTAAACAGGGCCTCTCCAGTCTGCAGGGCCGTGGGGAGACCGGGCAGAGGAAGGAGGCGGCAGGCTTTTGAAAAGCGGTCCACAACGACCAGGATGGTGGTGTTACCCTGAGAGAGGGGAAGATCAGTGAGAAAGTCAACACACAGGTGGGACCATGGCCGTTGTGGAACTGGTAAGGGCTGTAACTTACCCACTGGGAGGTGCCTAGGTGCCTTGCTCTGGGCGCACACCAAGCAGGAGGAGACATACACCCTCACGTCCTTAGCCAAGGTAGGCCACCAGTACTTTCCGGTCAGGCAGCGCACAGTATGGCCGATACCTGGGTGACCAGAGGAGGGGGACGTGTGTGCCCAATAGATTAGATGGTCACGTACAAGAGACGGCACGTACTGCAGCCCAGCTGGGCACTGAGGTGGAGATGGCTCTGTGCGTAACGCCCGCTATATGTCTGCGTCCATCGCCCATACTACCGGCGCCACAATGCAGGAGTCCGGGAGTATGGGGGTGTTGTCTATTGGCCTCTCCTCTGTGTCGTACAGCCGTGACAGTGCATCTGCCTTCACGTTCTTCGTACCCGGGATGTAAGACAGTGTCAAATCAAACCGGGTGAAGAATAGGGCCCACCTGGCCTGGCGAGGGTTCAGCCTCCTCGCTGCCCGGATTTACTCCAGGTTACGGTGGTTCGTCCAGACGAGGAAAGGCTGTTTCGCCCCCTCGAGCCAGTACTGATGAAGATTTTTTTGTAAACTATTGGATAAACAAAGTTAAATCACAGACGTGACGAACATATAGTTAGGATTCTCTGTTGCTAGGCAAGAACTTGAATGGTTCCTTTCACGGGGTTTGCGTGTGTGTGAAGTGGGGATATGACCTAGGGTCGAATTGCTCGCTCTTACCTAATCCATGGCTGTCCTACCTTATCAGAGACTGAAACCAGACTGTTGCCTAATGCATCTCTCCTCAAACAAAGTAGAGAGAGAGCGGCGCCAGAATTGAACAGAGTCTAGACTAATCATGAGTAATTACAGCATGACAGGAGGGAAGAGAGGAATGGGTTTGGGTATGTTTGAAAGATTAGTATGGACCTGTCATGTCCAACAATCAATCTTCAGATCAAGCCAGGGAGAGCCGGGGTTGAACAGAGTTTAAACTGAACATGAGTGTTTTTGCATGATAAGGGCTGGATTGATTGTATTACTAGGGAACCGAAGAGGGAGGGGCTTTAAACTAAGATGTATGTGAATATGACTATATAAACGGAGAGCTGAGAGGTAGATGGGAGGTGCTCTGCACACCATCTCGGCTTCCATTACTCTGTGTAATAAAGTCTATCTTGATCTTTGATTTTTAATAAGTATAGTGATGATTTTCCACAACAGTACCTCCACACAGTCAGGGCTCTGACAACAGCCAACAGCTCCCAATCACCAACGTCGTAGTTCTGCTCTGCCAGGCTGAGCTTCTTGGAGAAGAACGCACAGGGGCGGAGCTTGGGTGGCGCGCCCGAGCGTTGAGATAGGACAGCGCCTATTCCTACCTCTATGCATCTACCTCCACTACGAACGGTAGTGACGGATCGGGATGTGCCAGTACCGGGGCTGAGGTGAATAGAACCCTCTGGTTACTGAAGGCCCTGTCAGCCTCAGCAGACCAGCGGAGCCGGGACGGCCCACCCTTCAATAAAGATGTGACGGGAGCTGCGACCTTGCCAAAGCCCCGGATAAACCTCTGATAGTAGTTGGCAAAGCCAATAAAGCACTGCACCTCCTTTACCGTGGTTGGAGTCTGCCAATTACGCACGGCTGTAATGTGATCTCCCTCCATCTCCACACCTGAGGTGGTAATGCGGTAGGAGACAGACTGTTGGAAAAACAGACACTTTTGTGCCTTGGCATTAAGGTCATGTTCCAACAGTTGGCCCAGTACTTTGTGAACCAGGGACACATGCTCGGCGCGCCTAGAGGAATACACCAGAATGTCATCGATGTAGACCACTACACCGTGACCAAGCATGTCCCGAAACACCTCGTTCACAAAGGACGGGAAGACGGATGGAGCATTCATCGAACCGTACGGCCAACACCTCCTTTGGCCGCCATTCCTTCCAGTTCTCTGCTGCCAATGACTGGAACGAATTGCAAAAATCTCTGAAGCTGGAGACTCTTATCTCCCTCACTAACTTTAAGCATCAGTTGTCAGAGCACCTTACCGATCACTGCACATGTACACAGCCCATCTGAAATTAGCCCACCCAACTACCTCATCCCTATATTGTTATTTATTTTGCTCTTTTGCACCCCAGTATCTCTATTTGCACATAATCTCTTGCACATCTAGCATTCCAGTGTTAATACTAATTGTAATTATTTTGCACTATAGCCTATTTATTGCCTTACCTCCATAACTTGCTACATTTGCACACACTGTATATATATTTTCTGTTGTATTTTATGACCTTATGTTTTTTTTACCCCATATGTAACTCTGTGTTGTTGTTTTTATCGCACTGCTTTGCTTTATCTTGGCCAGGTCGCAGTTGTAAATGAGAACTTGTTCTCAACTGGCTTACCTGGTTAAATAAAGGTGAAATAAAAAATTTAAATATCACCAGGTATTCGTAATGCCCCGTGGTTGTGCTGAATGCTGTCTTCCACTCGTCCTCCTCTCGGACACGCACCAGGTTGTACGCACTTCAGAGATCAAATTTTGTGAAGAAGCGCGCCCCATGCATTGACTCGAATACCGATGGAATGAGGGGTAGAGGATAACTATAACGTATTGTCCCGTTGTTCAGTGCTCGGTAATCAATGCACGGGCACAGACCACGTCTTTCTTCTTCACAAAAAATAAACTTGAGGAGGCGGG